TTATTATTTATAATTATGGCTATGAAATTGAATAAAATACTTACAGAGCTGGCAATTATTAAATAATTTTCATTATTTCATCATCCTTGAACGTATAACTGAAAATTACAAATAATAAAGCTAACGTGTAAAAAAAGAAAAAAAACTTAGACTCCTCATTTCGTCGTAGTTGATATGGAATATATTTTCAAAAAGTTTGCAAAACTAATTCCTAAGGAACAGGGAAAAGCGGGAGTTACGGAAAGGGAAATTCATGAATTCACAAGACCGTTTAAGTAACTATTAGATGCAGCACATCTTATAATCGTTGTTAAACTGAAAATGAATCAATATTATGTGTTTCATTAAATTTCTTTTTTGTATTTAGGTACTTGTGAAGCTTTGGCAATCAGATGATGATAAAAATAGCATTCCGAACGGAATAAATATGTCTAATCAATCGTAAAGACGACCGTTTTTTAATTTCTTTTTTCTTTTTTTTTTTTTTGAATATATGTGAAATGATTAATCGTATTTCATCTGTTTTACTTGCAGTAATTCACTGAGTTTGATATTAATAGAGCTTTCCATAATTACATATGCTTATGTGACTGAATCTTGATTAAACTAAATAACCCAAAAGTTTTTATTAAATGAATCCCGTTGAACAAACTGAATGTCTACTATTACTTCCTATTTCCGTTACTGTACTACTATTTCTTCACTCTTAACTATCTTTCGATTTTATAAAAATATGGAAGTTGGATGATTTATTATCATTGTGGTTCATTCCCATATCGTTTTTGGACTTGAATGTAGAAGGCAATTTCTTTAAACTGAAAGGAATATTCGGATATGCTCTATTCATTGATTAATTGTATCTTCAAGTTTAGTGATAACCAAGAAATTCGGCGCAATATTGGTTGGTTTTATTTCATTAATCCTAGCACGTTATTGTATCAATATTTGAATTAATGAAATGTGTGTTTACGTTTTAATCACATTTACGTGCATCAGCTATGTTTACGTCTTCTTTACGTAGACCAAGAAATATAAACATAGGAAGTGTAAATGTTCACACAATCACAAGTTATGGTGAAAATATATGTGAATTATTTGTTGTGGATTTAATCCGATAAAATATTTGATTTGTAAGAGTCCAATCTTTCTTTACAGAAAATTAGTCCTTTTGTTGCAATATTGCTACAGGGAAAGTAGACGAAAGAAAAAACCATATTTCCTGGAGTGATCGAAAGCTCCATGTTTAATTGTTAATTTGGCAAACATAATTGTTTTGACCAATAAATTCAAGTACGATATTTGAGAAAGAAACGTTCAATAGGCAATACATTCTTTATGTAGGAAATATTTAACCGACTTAAAAGTTTTACTGTAATAAAAATCATGGAAATGTCACGATGAAATGTAATGCAATCCTGTCAAATTCTTGATTATGAAAATTTGCGCAGAATGCAAAAGAAGAGAAGTGCCAATTTGACAAAACTTGTTTCGCTTCCATCTTGCAACTTGTCCTACGTATGATAACTACCATAAATTACTTTTTAACTACTGCTGCTGGGCTTAAACTACTCTTTTATCAGACTTTCCACTTGAAATCAACACTGGAAAAATCATACTATCATTGAATTACGCCAATATAACAAACATTTCATCAACAAGTGTTTAATATTTCACAGCTTCATTTCTTTATGCTCTTACGCTTTTTACGAATCATCACACTTCGTTGTTGCACTTTTCTAGCGACTTTCTTTGTTTTCTTACTTTTAACAACTTTCCCGGATTGAGAAGTTTCCCTGAAAATGTGTGAAAAGATTGGAAGTAGAGGGCAGTAATTTTGTAAAAAATTCATAAATTTAAAAAGTAGTGGCAAGGAAAATCTTAAGTTGTAAACTGAAAAGTATTAAGATTGCTTTTTGCTTAATTGCATGAAATAGCTGTTTCTTTAAATCAAATTTTTAAAATCAAGCTAAGAATTGATTTTAGAAAATCGCTGAAACACTAAAAAAAAGTGGAAAACTGAGTGCTGAGGATAGCAATATTTACTATAATTCATTTTCGAAAAACTTACTAGTGTCTAATTAACTGACAACACAATTTATCATGCATAAAACTGGTATATTGCTCAATCCATGAATACCTCGGAATTCCAATCCCTTTCTATGCAAAAGAAAGCTCAGTAATAAATCGTTCGTTATCTATTCTTTTAGTCAAATAAGAAAAAAACTGTATTGCACTAATCATGACCGGTGTTCGAAGTGAACTTATATACAAAATGTTCAAAAACAAATCACCTCAGCGGTGTTCTAGTTTTCGAAACTAATTTCGCCTGCTTTTTCATTAATCTGTCTTCGGCCACTTCATTCATAAGTCGTGAGACAGCGCTTATTATTTCAGATTTCGGCACTTTTGCCTTCAATCGAGTTTGTGCTTTCGTAACCATAACGAAAGGAACTTGACCATTTTCGGCTGCTTTGAACCTTTAAAATTACATATTTATCATATTTTCTATTTCGCATTCCTAATAAGCTCTAATCTTTGAAGAAATGCGTTTTCCTATGATATCAGTTTATAATTCCGGCATGCAGATATCTAACAGATTTTACGATTTCCCTAAAATCCATCTACTACCGTTTGCTGAAGAATGATAAAGTCTCATTTCAATAGGCTTTTTTATTGCTTCTTCTGCATAATAAATTTTTGTTTGTAAAAACTACGACGATAAGCGAAGCATTGAGAAGAGCAAATGCTAGGTAAATTTAACTAACTCTTTCATGACTTAGGGATTTTCCCCACTTTATAGAAATTCTATTATTCGTGAAATACCTTCATTTCCAATATATACTTCGTAAATTATTGAAATTACCGAAATATATCGCTATATTTTAGATTATCAGCGATCTGTTTAAAAGAGGTTGAAATGAATTTTATACTGAAGATTTACTTTTTTGATACAGCATACAACCGCTTCCTACGAGCACTTTTTACGTCAGGTTTCTTCCCAACATCAAGCAATAATTTGCTTATTTCTGCATAATCAAACTGAAATATAAAATTTAAATTCAAATTAAAATTGTGCATCATTTAATGTGTGATGCAATTGTCACAGCCGATAATTATCAAATGTTCAATGTTCTGATACATTTGCAAACATAAGTCCGATTTAGGTAGATAAAAATCAAACGAAACCCAAATGACGTGTTCACTTGCTACATCGAAACGAAAAGAATGTTCCTGGCAGGTCTAACTAAAAATGAAATTTAAAACGCAATAAATTAGTAGTTATAGAAAATGCTTTACAAATTGCTGATAAAACTTTTCCAAAAATACCTTAATTCCTTGATCACTAGCACTTTCCGCTGTTGGTTCATTTGTTTCATTCTTCTCCACCTTTTCCTCTGCATACTGATGCAAAATTGACAGGAATATTTCCTGTATAACGGAATCAAAAAGATAATTCCTAAAAAAATTGAAATGAACAGCATTAAACTAACTTCCTACCATCGAATGAACAATGTAATAGAAGCTAGATATCAGATCTCATCACGGAGTATGTCGTCAAATTTAGAGTTTTGCTCGTACATTCTCAGGCAGTGGTAGTCTTAAAACCGTTTCTATCTATGACCAGGTAAGAAAACCAAAATTTCAGGAGTATCTTATTGTCTGATACACCGAAGCTTAAAGTGCTGGTGTGACAACTTGGAGCATATAGTAGCCATTAAAAAAAAGTTCACCATCCCAAACATCTCACACTGTGTTGACGGTGATTATCATTACAGAAAAGCTACAACTATGAAATTAGAATTTGTATCTACAACTATGAAAGTAGAATTTGATAAGATTCGCTTAACTTGCACAAACTACTACGGAGTTAATCATGTGAGTTAGAATGAACAAGGAAAAACTAACGATACTGTCCCATCAGCAAGAAGTTCAGCGTATGGTTTCAATAGTTCTGTTACCTGATCTGGTCTCAAACCACCTGAAATAAGTAAAAAAACCAGAATATATCAATGGGAAATTTGTGAAGAAAAGCAGCACGAAAATAATCGGCATCATCCAGCTCAAAGAGATGAATAAAATGGAAAAAATTTCTTGAGAATAAAAAACTAACCGGCACCATCCAATTCATCGAGATAAATGGATGCGAAATGAAATTTCAATCCTTCCGAAAATGATTTGTCTGAAACGAAATATGATGTAAAAAAAATGGAGTATAGATATCACTGAAAATCACCGAAAATCATGACAAGAAGCAGAAATGACTGATCAAAAGTTTTCCGTTGCTTCGCATATATTCAACATGACATTTTCAAGCTTTATATCTAACCGCTTGAAATAACGCAGTCTTTGAAAGCATTGATATACATATCAGTGATTGCTCTCTTCCAATCCTTCGAATGTAAGCGCATGAAAAGAGCACGAACAAGCCGGCGTATCAACTATAATCATTATATTTATTTTAATAAAATTCAATACCAAAAAATCTGATTATTTGGTTACTAGAACAATGGCAATATACCCAAAAGTGTTCAACAATTTTACCTTTAATTCATATTTCCATATGCTTCACTGTACATCCCAAAACAATGGGAAATTTTTATTTTATTTTCTTTTTCAAAATATCCATATTATGAAATAAAAAAAGAAAAAGGTTAAATTATAAAACTAAGCAAGAACGCAGAAAATTTGGAATGTCAATAAGATAAACAAAGATTTACAAAACTATAAATGACGAAAATATTATGCAAACATTGATTTAACTGACTTTGGAAGCTTTATTTTTGGTTACTACTAACACTCCCTTGAATATTTATATAATAGACAAAAAAACATTCTACTTTTCCCCGGAAGACAGAGTGAGCTGGAATTTAGAATTTCAAGTTAGTGTCTCAGATTATCG